ACGTTTTCTCCCATCGATTGTCATTGAACCGTCATTGACTCAAGCCATTTAACCCTTTTCTAGTCAATTCCCAACCCCTTTCTCACAGCCATTCTCATTGAAGTTCCAACGGAATAGGAAAGAAGGCAAGAAGAATGAAGGCTTCTACGCCGTCATCGTTCTTTACCCGTCAAGTCCATTGATTGATTCATTGACTCTTCATGTGCTTCTTGCTTTCACGGCCACACAACTTACCCGACAAGGTAATATTACCTTGACATCTGTCAACCGAATCGGGTAAGTATCGCTTCTTCAATGGGATTGTTGATGGGGACTTGGCTTTCATAGGATCGACATTAAAGCTTTAATTCAGAGGGCCTGGCTTGAACAGGTTTTACTTGCATACGATCGTCGCTTGTAAATCTTAGGTCCCGGGGCATTATGGTGTGACGGCTCCTTGCGTAACGATTCGTACGTTCCACGTGCATCGTTCCGCATGCTTCTTAAATTCTGTGAGCACGTGGTTTTGCCCGTGACACTATTTAACAACTGGTCTGCTTCAAACAGACGGGAAATCACTGGTTGATGCTACTTGCTCATACTACCTATAGCTATTATAATACCAAATGTAATCTTGGGACGCATCATCGTTTTAGTTCGAATTACTTAGTTAAACTATTCACAATGTATTCTGTAACTTCAAGTTCTTTAATTAAATTTATTTCCGGAATTTTTAGCTAACCGGCACTTATTTAATCATATGACCAATCGTACCTATGCTTTTCGAACCTTGTCTTGGCAAAAACGAAATGATAGGACATGTGATTTAAAAATTTCATAAATTCAGAGCAATCAAACATAACACATAAAAATGACAATAAGACGTTACTAATCCAAAAAATTTAGCTATCTAGTCAACACAATTAATATAGTATTTATAAAATAGTCTGCAAAATCGTATTATTCAAGTTATTGATAATAATGGCAATATATTGATATATACATAGTATATGGGGTTGAGTCAATAAAAATCAAGCAAATTTTTTCTAAGTAAATTTTTTTTAAACTTTAAACAATAATAGCTCAACAATAATTTTTATTAAATTTGATCAAGTTTTAGTTAAGTTATTAATGTATAAAGTTTTAAAAAAAATCCAACAAAAATAATTTACTTGATTTCTATTGACTCACCCCATATAATAATTAAGAATTAATAAAGTTTTTTATTGCCTTTTTGTAATCGTAATATGGGCTGCCGTCAATAGAAATCAAGCAAATCTACATTTGAAAAAAAAATCAATATCTTAACTTTCACAGCTCATATCTCGGTGAATTTTAAAGCTAACTTGATGTTTTAATATTCAAAAGAAAGCTTAGATTGAAAGCTTCCTTTTGAATATTAAGGCATCAAGCTAGCTTAAAATTCACCGAGATATAAGCTGTGAAAGTTAAGGTATTGATTTTTTTTCAAATGTAGATTTGCTTGATTTCTATTGACGGCAGCACATATACTTTTGGAGGCTAGTGTATATATAAACTTTGACATTAAGTTTCTACGTATTATATATTTTTCGTTCACGGCAAAGCCTGGCAAATAATTAAGAATAAATTTAAATTTCCGGTTTAAGCTTTTCCCTTGGCGGCACTCATATGCAAAATTTTTGAACTAGCATTTTTTTTTGTAATTTTCATATTGTATAGACTTGATCTGGTGCACCATAAATTACATGACTAGACCCATCGATTTTGTGTTGACTAAGGTGAAGCGTACAAATTCTCATTAATATAAAAATACAAAGCTATTTGAATACCCTAGCTACTGAGAACACTCACTGGCTAACCTGCCCCAAAAACCCAATACCCCCGCACCAACTCATAACCAAAATATCAAAATACTCTGCTAAACATGGAGTCCAGCTGCCAGACCTAGCAACACTCTTGCAAGTTTTCTTCATAAATGGTACAAATGTACCCAACACCCTAATAATGCAAGACCTAATCCCAGACAACATCCGGACAGCCACCTCGATCTCCAACAGCACCTTTATTAAAATCCTGCACAAGATATCCACCAACATATACAAACATATATAGCGCTGCGAAAGTATACACCAAAACGGACACTAACACTATCACACCCCTCTTCATCCCCTACACATCACATCAGTATAACCAAATATAATAAATAGGCATTTCCAAACAGCCAACATATCTACATCTTATATAGCCAAACTAAATCTAGTGAAGGTCAGGTAGCCCATTCTTGTAAAGTTTTTGGGCCGAGGATAAACTAGTCCTAGCTGTAGGTCCCTGTAATAATTCATGTAATCCATTTAAATAATGTAACGCATAATTATTCAATAAAGACCGAGGCCAGGCCTCACTCTTAAAAAAAAGTTATTTGAATGAAGTCGAGAAATGTAGAAAAAATTAAGAACTAAGACATATCAACCTTCAGAATAAATATTTTTCTGTTGAATAGAAAGAGAAAGAACACTTAAAAAGTTCTTTTATTTAATCAACATTAAGCAAAAATTGTCAAATGATAATAGTAACATCATTATTATTATATCCAATTATAATTATTCAAAGTTATGCAGTGAAGCCATTCGCAAACGTAATGTATAGTTTAAAAAGAAAGTTACAGAACGGCACTGAAGCTTTTCACTATGTATGTATAACCGTAACTAAGAATGACATAAAATAAAATGTTATAATGATTGCAAAAAATACTAAGATTAATGATTTAGCTATAGGTGTTCGCGAATTTTAACTTTTAGCAAATTAAAAATAATGAAAGAAATTTATGCTTGTAATTTCGGTTTTTTTTTTCAATTTAAACATGCATGATTAATTTTTCATCAATCAGGAAGGCGCTTGAGAATGATCTATATATTAATATTTGTATATTAATCTGTTCAAATAAATCAGCTTTGATCATTTTTATTTCTAGTAATTTAAATTAAATTTGAGAAGAAATAATTGTAGTGTATAATAAACAAGTTATAAGTCAACTTTAAATTCTAATTTAATGAAAAAATGATGACTTTAAAAAAAAATTCATTTACCATTACTGAATTTTTCAATACGGATGCCTGTATAACAATGTCTATGTAGTGCACCATTTTCGGATATAAATAGTCAGAATTTGATTTACGTTTTACAAAACTTTCAAAAATAAAGATGGCAGTAAAGCACTTAGAAAAACTTTCGACAGATTACCTTGAACTTCTTGATGACAAAGAAGATTTTAACGTAATCATTAATGCAGGAGAATCGCCAAACATAAAGATATTCCGAGCACATTCGAATGTTTTAAGATATCGATCATTGTATTTTCGTGATAAATTGGCAAACGCAAGCAAAGATACAAATAACATCAAAACAGTCAATTTAACTCATGTTTCTATTCAACAATTTGAAATTATTATTAAGTAAGTTACTAACTTATTTACTTTTAATAATATATGGATATGCATCAAGAAATTAATCTTAAAATCTAATTATATAAATCTAATTAAGATATATTTACGGAGGGGTAATTTTATTAGAAAATCAAGCAACATCATTTATTTTTGAACTTATGTTTATTGCTTCAGATCTACTTCTAGAAGATCTAGCTAAACATTTTGAAACATATTTAATTGAAGCAAAAGCTAATTGGCTTCGTTTACATTTTACACTTATTTATCAAAGAAGCTTTCAAAATAATCA